GTGGTGGGCCCGCCGCCCCCCCCCCCCCCCCCCCCCGCTGCTCCCCAAAACTGGGCCTCACGGCTCAGCTCCTCAGAGGGGCTTCACGGGGCGCTGAGCGGCGCCGGGCTGGGAGGATGCAGGGATGGGAAGATGGAGGGATGCAGGGATGGGAGGATTCGGGAATGGAGGGATGCAGGGATGGGAGGATGCCGGGATGCGAGAGCCCAGGGATGCCGGGCAGCACGGATGCAGCTGCCAGGATGCCGGGATGGGAGGATGCAGGGATGCAGGGATACCGGGCAGCACCGGGAGGCAGGGATGGGAGGATGCAGGGATACCGGGCAGCACCGGGAGGCAGGGATGGGAGGATGCAGGGATACCGGGCAGCACCGGGAGTCAGGGATGGGAGGATGCAGGGATACCGGGCAGCACCGGGAGGCAGGGATGGGAGCCTGCAGGGCTGCCGGGGAGCGGGAGAGCAGCGCTGCAGGGACAGAGGAAGGTGGGGATGCGGGGCCGGAGCTGCGGAGCACCGGGACCCTCCCAGGCAGCATCACCGGCTCCGCCGCGCTCCCGCCTGGCTCGGCCGTGCCACCCCCCGGCCCGGCGCCGCCACTGCACCCCCCCGCCGCCCCCCGCCCCTCCGGGGCTGCGGGACCCGCCCGGTGCTCGGGGAGTCCGGTTGATCCCGATCTCACTCCCCGCAGCGGCGGCGCCCGGTCCCGCGGCCGGGCCAGGGCGGGGGCACCGCGGCCGCTCCCCGGGAGCACCCGGAACCCCCCCGGTGCCGCGCCCCCCATCCCGCCCCGCAGCCCCGCACGCACCGGGGCCGGGCTGAGCCCCCCGAGCAGCCGGAGCCGGGAGCCCCCCGAGCCGGGGGTCGGCGGGCGGGGGGCGCGGGCGCTGCCCGGAGCGGCCGCACGGTGACGCCGTCGCCCACCGGATGGGAACGGGGGGGGCGGGGGGACATGGGGAGGGGGGAGGGGACGGGGCGGGGCTGAGATTGGGATTGGAGAGGGATTGAGTTCCGGGCCTGGAGTGGGAATGGGACTGGGAATGGCGGGAATGGAGGAGGGGGGTGAGCAGTGGAGGTGGGGGGTGAGATGGGAACAGGGATGGGTGGGTTTAGGGTGGGATTGGGATTGGGGATGGGGCCAGGAACAGGACGGGAATGGAGATGGGATTGGAGATGGGATGAGATAGGGCAGGGACTGGGAATGGGATGGGAGTGGGGATGGGGCCAGGAAGAGAATCGGAATGGACGTGGGATTAGAGAAGGAGATGGGATGGGACTGGACTGGGACTGTGGATGGTGTTTGGATGGGGCCAGGGATGGGAGTGGGGATGGAATCAATCCAGGAATGGGATGGGAGTGAAGATAGGGGTGGGATTTGTCTGGGAAAGGGAGGATGGGGCTGGAAGGGGGCCAGGAACAGGGTGGGAGTGGGGATAGGGTTGGGGTGCCGTTGTCCCTGCATCTGAGGCCACCCAGGTTGTCGGGGAGCCCCGTGGGGTGTTGTGTCCCCCACAGCACAGGGAGCAGGAAATCCCTCATGAACATCCAAGGCGAGGAAATTTTATGTTTTTTTCTATTAAGAATTGGAAATAGGGAGAGCATCCCATAGGACAGAGCCCCTCCAGTGGGACTGAGGGGTAGACAGACCCTGAGGATGCTTCAGGAACCCCCAAATCCCTCAGCACGAACAGGAGACCCCCCAAAAGGCCCCGCCATGAAGGTCTCGCCAGCAGGAAACATTCTCCTTGTCACGGGCTCCCCGAGTATTTATTAGAATATTTTATCATATCTGAGGGAGGCAAACTCAGCCCTGCTTGATCTCCTCCAGTTGCAACTCCCTTTTGAAAGGGATGTTCGTACAGGGAGTGACCTGCTCCGTGAATAAATTGACTCTGCCTCCGTCTCTCCCCGTCCTGGAATGTTGTGGAGACAAGGGTGGGCTGGAGAGGCTGCTTTGCATAATTAATATTTATCACTCGGTCCCGAGCAAGCACAGTCCCCCCGCTGATCCCCAAAGGCTGGGGGGCTGTGTTGGCAGACGGAAGGCAGCTCCTTCCCTTCGGAAACCTCATAATTGGGCTCCTAGCGAGGGCTCCAAGCCCCCCCGGGGCACCCACAGACACCCGTGGGTGGGCGCGGGATGGGGCACGGCGCTGGATCCAGCCTGGCCAGGGGGATGGGGATGCGGATGGGGCAGCCCCTGGCCCCTGAACACCCCGAAATCCCCACGAGACGGGGGGTGCCCTTTGCAGCAGCTCTCCCCAGCCACAGGGACTCATTCCCAAGGTGCAGATCCAGCCGCTGGCAGCAGGAATTGTCCCGTTCTCTGCCGCTTTGGTGGGACGGTGGGGCTGGATCCGCGCCTCCAGCCTTTTGTCTGCGGGAGAGGAATTAATTATTTTGTTCTCTCATTACCCTGGACTAAAAATCCATTTCTGAGCAGCATAAATTTAGGTGCCTGAAGTGGCTATTTTAACATCCCGGGAAACATTTCTCTCCCTCTCTCGCCCCTTTCCCAATCATTTCTGAATCATTGGCAGCCATCGACGTTCCGGATGAAGCACAAGATGGAGGGACATTATCCAAACACGCCCAAAGGGCCTTTCCTGGGTGGAAAACAGGACGGCGAGGCTGGAGCGGGGTCCCCACGCTTCCCCCAAACCCCCCGGGCTGGGGGTCTGGGACAAATCCCAGCGCGGGCAGAGCGGAGTCTGAGAACGGCCCCGAGAGGGACCGGCTGCCGCCGATGTGCTGCTCAATTGTTTGGAACATAAAATGGAAATTAATACATGGGGTGAACCCCCCCCGGCATCCCCCCCTTCCCCCCAGCGCCGCTCGCCTCGTTAATTGAACGGCGCGAAGCAAATGAGGTCAGAGCTCACTTGAGCCAGACAAGGACACGGGAACACGCGCGGCTGCCGGCGAGGCAGGGCTGTACCTGCCCGTGTTTAGCATTCCTGCCGGGATCCGCTCATTAAAAACCTAAAAGGCGGCTTAAGCATCCCATTAGAGCCTCGCCGGGCTCTGGAGCCTTCCCTCGCACACGCGTTTTGCGGGGAGAGCGGCACCTCAGCCGGGCACGGGTAAGGGGGGTTGCAGTTTCTGCCCCATCGCCGGCTCTTTGGGGGCCTTTGGGGCTCTTCGGGGGTCTTTGGGGCTCTTCTGGGGGTCCCTCGAGAGCCCGGAGGCTGAGGGTGAGAGCGGCAGGAGAGGTGCTGGAGGCCGGGATGCTGCTGGAGCACCCCAAACCCCGAGCCTGGGTCAGGCTCCTGCTGCCGAGGATGCCCTGGGCCCCCCCTGCCCCATCTTTCCAAGGAGATCCCCTCAGCCGGGTTCCCACGCTGTGCCTCAGTTTCCCCAGCTCTGGCAGGGCCTCGCCTGTGGGTGTCCCTTCCCCTTTTCCAGGTGTTCTCAGGGATGTTCCCGGCTCCATCCCCAGCACGGATTCCTCCTCTGGGGTCAGACCCTGCTGTTGTGGGAGCTCCACAGGTGCCGCTCCAGCCCTGCCTGGATTCCAGCAGGATTTTGGGAAGAGGTGGCACACGAGGATCCCGGTGGGACCCCTCCCAGTCTCCTCTCGGCCAGGACACCCCAAGGGGCTCCGTGCCGGGGCTGTGGGCATGGATCCTGTGGGATGCATCGTTTCCGAGGCACTGGATGCTGTCACTGCTCCAGGGGCTGCCTGGGGACCCCACTCCTCGTGTCCCATCCCAAACAGGGCCCCAGCAAGTTGGGGGGCCCCGAAGCACCCCGGGGCTGCTCAGCACCCCAGCCAGGAGCACCCACACTTCAGGGCCTCTCTCAGGTGGCACCTGGGAGCTGCCCTGTGCCCCTCCTCGGGGCTTCGGTTTCCCAAACTGCTCCATCCTCATCCCAGTGAGCCAACCCAGAGCCCACCCAGCATCTCCCCTCTCCAGAGGAGGCTCAGGCATCCAGCATTCCCTCTTTCCCAGCATCTCCCTGCATCCTCCTCCACTTCCTCCCGCTTCCCTTTCTCCCTCTCTTCCTTCTTTTTTTTTTTCCTAAGACAAGAAATGAGTTGTCTTCCCGCAGATGTGACTAAAAGCACTCTGGAAATGTCAGCCACTGCTGGAAAGGGACCCAGATAACATTTAGCTTTAGGTAAGAGAGTAGATTTTCTCTGCACTAATTCATATTTATAAG